TTTTACCTACTTGTCCATTGGTCCATTGGAATAGTGACCGTCCAATGGAACCAATGGAACTGGTCAATGGACCTGGGATCCATTCATACCAATGGACAAATGTGCCCACCCTAGGTATAAGACTTTATTTAATAGACCTCGTGTTAACTTCGATATTATGTGATCTACCACTTTACCCACCACCACTTTTACCTTATAAAAGCCAAATTTTATTAAAGAAATCAAGATTAGCATATTAAGCTATTCAGAGATCAATATATATATATATATATAAACGTTTGATATGAATTAACTTTTATTAATATATTTTTATCTTTTAAGTCTTACAAAATATTGAAAACCAGTTTTTAAAATTCGATTCTGGCCAAACCAGTTTAACATTGGTTTGGAGCTTATTATATAAAAACCTGATCAATAGGTTTTTGATTTAGAACCTAAAGGTTTTAGAACATAAACAAAACCTAAACTAACTTTAGCATTCCTAGATAGGTTTAATCTAAACAAAAAAAATTATACATGATTAGTCATTATTATACGATTAACTTAATGACAATTCTAAATACCTTGAAATGTAGTCCAATCAACGAAAAGACCAAGCATTTAAGATCTTGTACTAAATAATAAAATACACGTAAACCCTCAGGGTCATCACTCTCTTGTACGTCAACAAGGGACCCAATTTTTGCTGTCTATATTTCGAATTTATTTTTGCAAAGTATCGTTTGCTTAGTACGTGAATTTCAAAACGAACTTTAAAAAAAAAGACTAGATTTAAACTTTTACCTCGAATGAAATGTGTTCATTGCCCAACCGAATTTCAAGTTCCTGTCGTCCAACAACATTCTTTTTTGGCCATCGTTGATCGTCTTCTCTGTAAGAGATCAGTTTGTGTTAATCGATGTATAATTATAAATGCTTACTGATTTTTGAATACTTACTTCATGACTTCACTTTCCTGAATGATTCGTTTCAATTCTTTCATCATTAAAGGACTAACATACACTGATCAATATTCCGAAAAAGAAGGTTAATATCTCCGAATATTAAGCTAAATTATGAATGTGGGAAACTTTAATAATTTAAATCTTATTATCAAGACGTGTATTTGCTTACTTTCTTTTCTTATTAGACTATCATTCCGATAGTTTGAATTGTTAGCATAACGACACCTTCCATCGGCACGGAACTCAAATTCAAGAAATTCGTGGCCGTAACGGCCCATATGACCGGTACTTAGTATCAAATAAAAAAATAAAAGGTATTAAAAAGATATGTTTATAAAATCGGGTAACATCATAATTAATAAACGCGTACTAATAGCGAACATAAAACTCGTCTTCGTTGACCATATTTTTAAGAAATTAAGTGAATGTTTATAGGTAGGTATTGGTATCATACAGTGTATGTATTTATGTAACTCCATATCACGTGACAAAAGAAATTTTAAATTTCCGTTCGACCAACTCAAGCACGTACATACATACATATCAAAGTTTCTTAATTTAGCGTTAGGACCATGAATTCTAGAGAATATTTTGAAAAGATTAAACATTATTCGGCGAATGAAGAAGGATCACAAGTGGCTGATCTATTAACAATAAGGGCAACAACTTTTATTCAACAATTAGCTTTACTTTTCCAACATGTAAGCTTGCTCTCATTAACTTGGTCATTACTGTTTTAGATGTCTCAATGTTTTAACTTATGTAGAAAACAAGAATAGAAGACGATGTAAAGAGGTATTTGTCAGCACCGTGGGACGATATTGTTATACAATATATAAGGTGTATTATAGCTATGCAGAACAGAAAGTATGCGGAGGCTTTCGAGGAGCATCATAGCTTGGTCCAGTATCCTTATAGTTTTGATTCATCTAAATTTTCCTTTTGTTTTTTTCTTTTTTTTTTTTTTTTGAAAACACAAAGTCCCTTGACGATCCATTTAAAATAAAGGATCTTTCAAAGAGCGTTTTCACAGCAGCTGGCGCGTTGGTCTTTGCCGATATTATATACTATAAATTATGATCTACGAATGCTTGCAATTAAGGTGATAACGATTTTATATTAATTTATAATTTATAATTTATTTTTTCCATTCCTAACACTTTTTCTATTTCATAATAAAGTCGGACTTGATTTTTATGATGGCGGAAAAACCACCAAAGAATTTGGAAATAGCAGCTCGCGCAATTAATAAATCATTTTCATTGTGCATAACAGACAGGTAAAATTTTATAATTCAATAATAGTGTTCCATACATGAATTAAAAATTTTTTATTGATCAATTCTAGGGCTGCGTTAAACGTCTCTCGTAAATGGGGGACATATTATTTTGCGGGGCTCTTGTTTAAAACATATTTCAAAGTTCGTATTTTTTAACATTTCAAGGTTACATTGATACATGACGACTCATATTTGTATGAATTTTTTACTTTTAGTTGAAACAGCAAAATCTGTGTAAAAATGTTATAAAATCAATTAGGGCTTCAACAGATTTACCGTCTTTTGGACAATTTCCCAGAGCACATCAGGTGACTTTTCTGTATTATCAAGGATTACTTGCTTTTCTTGAAGCCGAATATCCTCAGGTATTTAAATTTGGCTCACTAATTTTGCAATTTCATTTTCTCAGTTTGACTTTATTGACATTGTATATATTTTCCCATTAGGCTGAAGAAAGATTCGTAACCGCATTTCGAATGTGTCCTAGATCTAGTCAGAAAAATAAGGAGTAATTTCAATTGTTTTTATAAAATTTGCATGGAGAATTATCATTAGTAACAATACTCAAATTTTTTTGTAAATGCTAATCTATAGGTTGATACTTCGTTATCTTATTCCGGTTTGGCTAACTCGAGGTGTTTTACCATCACCGGATGTACTTTCTCGGTATCCTAACTTAGAAACTTTGTACAAACCATTCATTGATGCCATTAGAGATGGTAATGTTAAAAAGTTTGATGACGCACTCGCAAAGTTTGAATTAAGATTAGTTGCTCAAAACACGTTCCTGACTGTTGAACTGGCACGGGAGATTGCAATGAGAGTCTTATTCAAGAAAGTGTAAGCACATCTGAAACTGACTTTTCCACATTGAGCTTAAATAATTATTCATACACCTTTTTATAGTTACTTAATTAACATTCGAGAATCGAAAGTTCCATTGAGCAAATTCCAACAGGCCCTGAAATATGTAGGAAGAGACGTGGAAATGGCAGAAGTAATGTGGTATATGGCTTCAATGATTCAAAAGGTATGATTGTTCATTTTATATTCCTATCGTTGTGTTAAATTTACATAATCACTATATGTCAATTATATTAGGGCTTAATCAGAGGATATTTATCATATTCTAAAGAATTCCTAGTTTTGAGTGAAAAAAATGCCTTTCCCGTCTTTGGTGCTCCAACATTAATATAAAAAAAAAAATGTGGTTTTATTCTTTGGTAACGCATTAGGGTATTCTATTTTCAATTACATTCCTAATTTCTGATTCACATAAATAGATGACAATTAAAATAGAATAAACTATAAGGTAGGTCAGGTAAAGGTAGGTATTTTAGAGACAAGATATCTATTAATAAATTCCAACAATCAATCAAAATAAAAAGTTTATTATTTCACATTTTAATTGAGAAAATATATAATATTTGAGCGTATTATCATTTAGAATTTTTCGACTTCAATCATTAATATCATCTAGGCCTTCTAATGCCAAAGCCTGTAATGTCATTGAGTCATATTCGCCTAGCAAATCGGCTAAGAATTAACATAGTCAATAAAAAGAAAAAAAACAAATTAATAACGACTGTTAAGCTTTAAAATAAAATAATACCATTGACTCTCTTGTCTTTATTATCCACTTCAATGCTTTTCCCATTTTTCTTTTTTTGTTCAAATTGTTCAATAACTCTAGGGTCTAAAAATTTAAGTTTTAACGTCGGGTGTTTATTTGAAGTAACATGTCCGCCCCATAACCAGTGAGGAATCATACTAGGAATTTCGATTTCCCCTGAAAATTTTTCAATGAACTCGCTTTCTTCTGATGATATTACACCGCCGCGAAGATATCTAATTTAATCATCAGAGGAGTGAATTAACTACAAAGACGAAAGAAGAAAGAATGTAACTTTTATAATACTAATCCTGACCTAAGAAATTCACCCATACACGAAGGAATACTCCACATTTGCAGTTTTCGCAAGCAAGCAACAACTAGACCTGTAACATTTGCGCCATCTAAACAATGAATAAATATTGGTAGATTTGATGGATCTATGATTATCTGATTACATTATTTGAACATAAGTCCACAAGTAACAAAACATTTCACAATTATTAAAGTTTGAGAAAGGAGTCATACTTGTACAGATTGAATAGCTTTACTATAAATCAAAGATACATCATTATCTTTCTTTTTGCCAACCTGAAGATGGATATTACGAATATTTTGAGATTGACAGAATTCTAGTAGCTCGCGGACTGGCGGATCGGGAATTAGAGAAAGCATTGTTTTTAATTTAAGTCTAAAAAATTTTATCGATTCAGTCGCGTTAAATAAATACAATGCAAAAGACGTACTAAGTCGAACCTTTTAAGAAAGCGGTAATTTCGACTTTTGGGATATGCCCCACGATACACTTCTTCTTCAACAATAGCATAACGGAAGGGTGGTATTAATGGTGGAAGCATCGTTAAACAGAATAATGCTAAGTTTGAAGTCGCGATTTTTTTTTACAATATAATTTATGATTGGCTCGCATAAATCAATTGCCTGGGTTATTAACCATCATTTAATCATTTAATAAATTACCAGTGTGAGCATTAAGTTTGGTGTTTCAAATCGAAAAAATCAAGCCAATTTTAAAATGCGCGATATGTTATTTTAAAGTTCTAAATCACACGTTAGGATAGAGATTACAAAAGAGCACCAAAACAATTTTATAAAAAAAAAAAAAAGTATATATAAAGTTTAAAGTTTAAACTTTAAATATATATTTAATAACATTTTAAACATTTTAAAGTAATTATATGATTGGTTAAAAATAATATTTAACTGCCGCCTTGAATTTCCAATTTATAATTTCTTTCTGGATTTGCAAATAAGAAATTCACAAATGGCCGTAATAGGAAATTATCAAATAATATCTTGATAGATATTAAAAAGATCGGATTAAAGTTAGAATTCAAGTATTTTTTGTATTTCTAAGATGAGGTAAATTTAGAACTGTTATGGAGACATCGTAGAAATGGTCAATTTTAAATGCATTAAACTGACGTTGAATAACCATTTTTTATTTTACTTTTCGTATTTAGCCAACTTCCTCCAAACACTTCGGGTGAACCTGTTCCCAACGTGCCAAGGGATCCTCCAAAAGATACTCCTTTTACTTTGGCTGAACTTGCAGAGGTTTAACCAGAGTTCATTTATGTGTTATCGCGTATGAGAACGTCTTAATCATATTGTTGTCACATGAAAATAGTACGATGGTTCCGATCAAAGTCGTCCGATATATGTTGCTGTTAAGGGCACAGTATTTGATGTAACAGGAAAACGTCCCCTTTATGGAATGGGCGGTACCTATCATTCATTTGCTGGTAAAGACGCCTCAAAGGTAAATTTAGTTAAAAATACTTTGATTTTTAGTATGATCAAACTAAATTTTATGTTACTAGGGTCTCGCTACGGGATCAATGACTGATGTAGCTGGTGACTGTAGTTCTTTAAATGAATCTCAGGTAAGATTTATAAAGTCATGCATTATTATCTATATTTAAATTTTAATTTCTAAATTCATATTATCTTCATATATAGCTTAAAACCCTTGATGATTGGTACAAATATTATGAATTAAGATACAATATTGTAGGAAAAGTTACTTCTTAAGCATTATTAGCCGTTATCATATGATGACATAGGATTAAATTGTTTAGCATCTATATATATATATATATATATTGCAATTGTGTCATAAATTTCTTATTAACAAATAACGATAATCATTTAACTTATTTAAAACGGCTATCTGCTTTATTTAAAGATAAATTGATATATATCAATATTAATTAAAGTGCATTAGATTCTACTATTGCACAATAATTGATAATAATCATTAAACTATTAAATGAAACTGGTCGGCTATTATTAGCTATAATCACCGAACTTCAGCAGTTTCTATTTTTTTTCCTCACATTATCATAAATAAATAAAAAAATGTTTCCGTAAAGAAAACTAAATCATAATAATAGCACAGGCGAATCAAAATAATATTAAATGATTTGTTAAACAAATCAAAGTTCAAATTTAATGTTATTCATAAAAATGTTTAATAATCCAAATAATTAAAGTGTGCTTAAAATAGGAAGATAACAAGAAATTCAATATTTAATTTCAATGTCGCCTTCAGCAGGTGCATCCAGGTCAACATAAGATTTCACCTGGCGAGGATCAGAACCCGCATTAAGATCACTTAATATACAAAATGTATCATTAAATATTGTCTAATACTATAAATCATTTTAAAATTCATTCTAAAAAAAAAAAACTTACTTAGGTCTAGATGATTGTCTTCTTGAATCGGAAGTTTGTCTGGAGCCACGTTCTCGGCTATCGTCTCTTCCATCAAATCCAATCCTTGGAATTTGATCATGAGGAGTTCCTGCAGCAGCGCCCATGATAGGAAAACTGAAATTCATGAATGGTGGAGGTGGTGCATTAGTCATAACCGGGAATGGGCTAGGTGGAATGGGTGTAACGCTTTGAGGAACAAGTGCAGCAGTAGGATTGGGTGGTGTCGTAGGAAGGAGGTGATTTGGATCAAGAACGTAATTATTATAAAACCTCGCCTAATAATATCATTTAATATACGTTATTCTAAATTAATCAGCTTTGAAAATTTTTTAATAGCAAAATAATGACTCACGTCATTCGTCGTCGTCTCGACAGTACTATGGTGTTTGTAATCAATGTGCTTCTTAACAAAATCTGCGCCTTTAAACAATTTACTACATAGGTTGCATTTGAACTTACGACCAGGCTCAACTTCATTAATATTTTCATTGTAAAAATTTTCCAAAACCCTAAATATTTGTATTAAATCAGTCACAAGTTCAAGAATGAAATAACATGAATCATGATACATACTGTTTAACATTTAGTCCACCGTTCTTCTCGACTTCATTTTCATATTTCAATGGTTCTGTCTTGTAGTTAATTTTATGATCTAAAGTTTTCAACCATGTTGTAGCTATTCTCAAATATCATATAAGAACCGGAGTTAAGTAGGTAATTTTGATAATCCAAAATGAAAATTTGTCAAAATAAAGCTTACCGTTGATCTGTTTTTCTTTTAATGATTTTCCGGCGGATTTCACATCATTGCTTCCAGGCAAACTCCTTAAATGACGCCCAGGGCATTTTCTGTTAAGTTCCTCCACAGAATCCGATTCACAACCACAATAGTAACAAAAAAGATGTGTTCTGCGCAAATATTCAATATGAATATCCAATATTCTCTTAACCTAACCATTATTTAAATTACAATTATTATTCGGATGTATTTCATATTTTGATAATAAATTAAGAATTTACGTTATTTATTTCTTCACGCCGATGCCCATCATCAATTAATATGAGTCGTTGTTTGATATTCTGGCTTCCGGTCATTGTATTATCAACATCTTTATCAAGCTTCTCTGAAAGTTTAATGGCCATTTCCAAATCTTTTTTCAACCTTTCAAGAGTATTAGCGGCATCCGGAGTGGTTCGATTACGAACGGGACCAGTTTGATTTTTATGGCGAGCCAAGTAAAAAACAAATTCGTCAATCTAAGGAAATATGTGAGATTTTTTTTTTTTTAAAAAAAAAAAAGGTTGAAACTTTATCACTTCATATCACCCATACTTTTACCTTTTGTTCATTTAGTTTTTCATATGCTGCGTCCATATCAGATCCCTCTTCAAAAACAATCCAGCCCAGACGATGAAATTTTTTTTGAGGATTAGGTTCAGATAAAGCAAGATATTTGAACCCAGGAATTTCTTTGCACATCTTTATATTAATAGTAAGCATAAATTAAACCGAAAAATTGCGAGCTCATGAACACGTAAAAAACAAATTACACATACTTCTTCTATTTTTTGTCTTGAAATATTGGGTGATACACTCTTTATAAAAAGTCTATTAGCATCTTCGTCCTGTTCGTTTTTGTCTGCAGTGGATTCTATTAAAAACAGTTAAAAGTTATTTGAATAAAAAAAGGAAGCTCACAAATACCCTGCTATAAACATACCTTCTGTCTTTGTATCATCTTTATTTTCTTCAACATCATTAACAATATTATCTAAAAGGCCTCTTTTCAAATCCGTGATAAAATTTTGATAATTCTTCTTTTTTAATTCCTTAGTTGCCGCAATCCTTGGCTCCATATATTTTGGATGATATTTTTCAAGAAACCATTCTTCTTTTTTATGAGCCTCAAAAAAGGTTTTCAATTGTTTAATACCAAAAGCTTCTTTATAATCATTATATTTTTTATGTAAGTCATCATCAGTATATCGTGTTTTTTGATTTTGATTTGACATCTGAAGGAATTCGGCATAATACTTGAATGTCACCAAAAAATCAAGTTGATCAGGATCCTTCAATGGTTCTTGTCTATAAATAATAAAATACGTATATAAATTAAACGATATACGATATATAAATATATTTAGTCTATATAGTTTGAAATTTTACCTTCCAGGACCTGTCCAATCCATCGTCATGAGAGGTCCACCCGGAGGTATAATCGGTGGTGCTGGGCCTACGTTAAATCCTTAATTATTTTTTTTAGCAATTGAAAGCTTAACCAATTTTGTCGTGTATATGATGATAAGATGGTGGGTTAAAAATTAAAAATTATGCATGCGTACCAAGTGATAAACCGACTGGGAACCCATGCGGTGGAAATCGCATATCCCCTGGTCTGCCAACGTATCTTGGGGCAGGTGTATAACCATCCTTCTCATAGTTAGGAATGTAATGGTCTCCTTCAAGTTGTTGTGGTCTCCTTGAATCGGGCGATATGGACCGTCTCCTTTTAGAACGTCGATCTGAATAGTTCGCTGTATCTAACAAGTGTCAAGGTTCATAAAATAATGAAAATTTTAATATTTTTATAAACTTAAAGAGCGTTTTGAAACATTAAATATAAAAAAAACGATTAATACCTCTATCTTCAGGTGATGAATTATTATCTCTTTTAACGCGCCTTTCATTATAAATTGATCGATCTCTGTCTCTGTCTCGATCTCGATCCCTATCTCGATCTCGATCCCGATCTCGTTCGCGATCTCGGTCACGAGTATCTCTACGATCAAGACTACTTCTACGTTCACGCGTAAATTTATCACGACTGTGGTGAGTGCCTTCGTCATCAGAATGGTCCATTCGCCGTTGTTTAGAGCTCATTTTAGCGTTGAGGTGTATGCAATAAGAGATTTGCGACTTCTAGCGGTATAAAGAAGCAAGGAGTATTTTTTTGTAGAACAGATAATCTTGTTCTACACAAAAATATAACGAATCCGTGTCAAAAAAAAGTGAAAAAATGGTAAGATTCTCATGTTTTTTCATGTGCTTTGAGTTTCGTTTTCTATCTTGAAGGTTGGTGATTTGATTAATGTTAAAAAAAACCCGGTGGGAATGTCGCAATTGACAAGAAAGGAAAGTTTATATATATAGAAAAGTGTCTAAGAAGAACGTGAATATAATTCGAGTTTCGTGTTTAATCAGTGTTTAAACTAGAGTAGTTCATATAAAAGTTTTTAACAAGACCAATATGACCAGTAAATTCAAACGAGTTTATGATAAGCAAAAAAGTTTTTTGACAAGTACAGTTTCTTACTGAGATTATAATTGGATCTTAGATTTTTTTTTTTTTTTCTCTTTTTTTGATGGTTCACGAACATTTTGTGTATCAAACAAGCTAAGTGTGCGGTTTTCTTATGCAATTGTTTAGGTTCCCAGAGAAGGTATAAGTTTTTGATGAGAACGTAGATGGACTCACTCACCAGATCTGTATCTAAGTCAAACAAGTCGACTCTTACTCTCTACAATAGTTTATTCTGCTTCACATATCATATACGTAGCCACTAAATCACCGAACCAATCATTCGGTAGAGCGGATTTCACACAATTATGTTACACGACATTCAAAAGTTCTATGCCGTGCAATGTAATAGTTATATCCTGGGCAATTGGATTTTGCAGTAAGTATAATCGGCCGCGTAAACGGCCGGAACATAATTTGCCTGTTCTTATTTTAGAGCGAAACTTTTAGTTTTACGCATTGTTTTTGACATTTAAGATTGAAAATAGGATAATACTCAATTACCTAAATTAAAAGATATATGTCTAGTAGAAATAAGTACATGAAAAAGTTACATAGATGAGGTCGACCAGGGGATAAATTTTTTTAAGATTGTGTAGTGACATTTATGCCAAATAGTTTGGATCTCCCTTTTAAATATAAAAAAATTGCTTCACATATGTAGGTACGTACGTACGTACGTACTAGAGATGTAGCCCAAACTATTTGGGACGACTCGAGCTATGCGACAATTAGGATCACATAGGATTTTACATTCGTACTTATTATCATCAAAACAATGTGATACTAATTGTCACATAAATATTTTGGGCTACATTCCGTAGGTATTTTATTCCGCCAAACACGATAAAAATTTTTTATTATTCACTACGTATTAGCGCACACACTCCGCTGATGAAACGGGATCCTGTTATTGAACTTATGATTATACGTATACTGCTAATGCACTTATCGTAAAAGATCATTCTAAATTTTATTACTTTCTACTTTATAAGTTTTCATAAGAAAGTTATACAGTATTATATACTATATGGTACTGATTACAGTATCCGGGATACTACGCATTTCAGAAATTATCAAATTTCTTAAATAGTAGTCACCTGGATATAAAGAAAGTGCAGTAAATTATATAATTTTAATTTTTGCTGGATTTTGTTAAAAAGTGCATCCTGCACTCAGTGCACCAGCTAGTGCACTTTCTGTATCTCGAAATTTTATTAAGATAACCCCTGTTGTATAACTAAGGCCACTCCAAATTGATTTTCTGTTTAACATAAAATAAAATAGCTCATAAGAGTGGGGGGAGGGGTATAAAAAAAAAACAAATTAATAAAAATACAATGATTCTATTGGCTATAAAAATTGTAAAAATATAAAAAATTAATACTGCAATTTGATTGGCTAAAATGATGTTTTTTTAACACTATAAAAAAGCATTTTCATGATTGTGAAACGCGATTTTACCAAATTTTGTATTTTGGCGCCTATCGATTGCCGGTTATAGCGAAAAAATGGTTAAAAAAGGTTAACCCTTGTATCACGAAATTGATAGCTCTTTAACTTATGGAGCTCTGGTAGAGCTCAGGTAGAGCTCAGGTAAAAGGGTAGATACTTAACGGGACTTGGTAAATTTTCTGCATTTGATACTGATTTGCTAACAAAAATTGTTAGTTTAATGTGGATTCTGAGACAAGATTTTATTATTTTTGCTTTTTTTTGTTTTTTACTTTCGGATTTTTTACCGTCTAGATGAATTGATAATCACTAAAATTAAAGAGCTGCAATGATTTTGGTTCGCTAAGCCAATCATTTATCGTTGATTCGATGTGTTAATAAGATTGATTTTCTGGTATTGTATCACTTTGTGGCAAAAATAATGCTAACTATCACATTGTTTTATTTAATTCTATAAATATATAGAATCGAAGTAAAACATTCTTGATCTGATTTAGTTATGTGGTTATCTTGATATCGCTAATGCTATTATTATTTTTCCCTGTCCGAATTTGTGCATAAGTACTACATGACTAAGCAATTTACTATTCTTTATAGAGATGATCACTTCTACTAAATTTTCCTACTGCCAAAAAACTAAATAAAGTTAACAATAATAACATAACGCTATGATTAAATAAGTAAAAAAAATAATTATGAGAGTAAAAAAAAAGTAATAAACTTATATCTATCGTATTCATCATTTAAATGCTGCTTTGCGTGATTGTTTATCTATCAAGATTGAATTGATATATAAAAACATAAAACATTCATTTTTGTACTTGTAAAAAAACCAGTTTTAAAATACCATTGCTTTAACATTATCAGTCTTACTAATTTGGTAAACAAGGTAATTGCGAATAATAAACTTATCTATTTGCTGATTACCCCACAATTTATCTTTATTATTTAAAAAACAATGGATCTGGATTTTTACTCCTGATTTGTAATGAATCCTCGATCATACGATTACCTAAATGCATAACTAAAAATAATATCAATCATTTGCCAAGAAAATCGCTTTTGCTGCTGCTCACGAACAACATTTTTCTTAGCAAATAACCCATATACGGTAGTTTATAATTATGATTCTATTTCAAATTGATCTTTAAACTTTCCTTATACGTTTGTATAGATTAAGCGAGATCAACCAATGAACACTTTGTTTATTTAAGCCTCTCATTATGTTATTCTTTCGTTCAAACTATTTAAAAAATGTTATTTACATATTTGAAATTGTAATGCTTGATCTTGACTATTGTAATAAAATAAAAATATTAGATATTGAATTCATACCAATTAACATGTTTTATAATGCTTTTTCGGGTTGGCTTCGCTGACTACATCCCGTTATCTACCGATAAAATAAAAATTCTTCATAGTCCCAATCTGAGTTTTTCACGACAACATAATATCATCATTGTTGTTCTTACAGCCACGCCAAGCATAACAGCATCGTAAAATTCTTTTAAAGAAAAAAAAAAATCATGTAATATCTAAATCGAGAAATAAACGCTTACCAGCCCGTTATACTCGTAATATCTTCATTGATACCCTCATGCTATTATTGATCTGTCCTATACTGTACACGATTGAATATTTTTACACTAACTTATCTGTTCATTATTGTCTCTACGTTTATAAAAAGAGTGAATTCATCAGAATAATTCGCTGTGCTTATCAAAAAAGTACAATAAAACACTGCTACTTATCTATACTTCTCGACACCTTTGCTCCCGCTGAACATCTTATCATGACCTCGATCTTTATATCATTTTGTTTTGTTAAACCATTACCGGTAGTGATAAATATGTCTCTGGAACTGGTTTATATCGTATTAATAAAGATGTTGATGCCTTCAGGGAAATTACATTTAAAGGCTTTATTAATAACTCTGAATCTTTAATATCGCCTCTTGAAAAAAACTCCATTGTTTTAATGATCGGACGATATGTATATGAAGAGAATACTGAATATGTATAACTCCGCTTCCAACTTTCTTACCTATTATAAGATTTCTACAATAAACTAATTACCTTCATCTTTGTGCAGGTCATTTTGATCCAAACCGTACCCATATCATTTTCTGATGATACTTACGTTCTCACTTCTACTGATCTTCCATACTCATCACCCCTGCTTCACTTTTCCGCACCTGTTGTACAGAGTTCTTATTATTCAGACAATGAAGGAGGAAGAGAAAGCTTCATGCTCACAAGACGTTTATACAACGGTGTTACTAATAATAAACATATTCCTTCAAATGTTATCGTATCCTATGTAAATGAGAATAATCGTTACAATGCGTTGAAAAATAATCTACAAAAAACTGTTTTGTCAGTTATTGGAAGGTTAAAAATCGGATCTTCCAGGATTCCGCATATCATTGCTTCTGATATCGAATGGACTTATTCAAATAACGAATCACAATCTTCAAGTACTCCGGGTAAAGAAAAATCACAATCTCACGAAGAATTAGATAACCAACTAGATAGTATTGAAGAAAAATATGCCACTCTATCTTCTCAACCTTTGCAAAAAAAACCCAAACTCTCCTTACATTCACCAACTGCTAAAAAATCGAATGACATCCCCACTACTGTTAACTTTACTAATGTTATTTCTCAAGTTCGCCTCAATAAACATCTTCCAGAACATAACAATGTAAATCCTACATCTGAAAATATGCAACATGATAATTCACCCAATACCGATGCTAGCGATATTCCTCCTCAACATACTAGAAGAGAAGTTGATGTTACTCCTGTTGATGATAATGAACCCGTTGCAACTGCTTCCACCGATCCTTCACCTTCTCCAGACAAAAACACAAAACAAACAAGAAAAAATTTAAGACCTCTTTTATCTTTAAAAAAATAGAATTCTCTATTACCATGTATTATCCCTTGTCATTTCCTTTAAAAAAAATTTTAAAATAAGTAAATATCGAATTTAAAAACGTAAATAAATAAAAAATAAAACCCTCTACCTGTAACTTTTTTTTCATGTTATCAGAGAACAGAAGCTCCACTTATTTACCATATTTTCGTCTAAATCACTCTAGCCATACAAAAAATATCGAATACAG